TAAAGAAGAAGAGAGAGAGAGAGAGAGAGAGAGAGAAGGAGAGAGAAAGTTACCACTAGTCTAGTAACGGTAATCAGAAATATCACTCGCGCTCTATCTTTTAACTCGGATCTCCCATCAGGCTCGGGATCGATACTCGGAAGTGATGTTCAAAAGAATCTTTGTGATTCGACGATTCGTGCAGCACATCCGATATTCGTTATATCGCAGACAAAATTTACACACGGCAGCTTCCGTTTTCCTTAAGCACTTTGCATTTCTCTCAACGGGAACGAAACAGTCTCCTTTGCGAGATGCGTATGATTCTTCTCCGTTTCTCCCTGATTTTTAGATGTCGGATGTCTGAATCGGATATCGACCAAGAATACAAAATATTTCGAAAGCACGGGTTGCACATACGCAAGAAACGCTTGTACCGATCACGTACTTCCCCATCCACGTGCAAGAAGAGACGTGAAAAAGATCGCGAATAACGACAGTAGAATCGAGAATCAGGCTTGTATATAGAATAGCAAACAAAAAAAAAAAAAAAAAATTAATAAAAGCATCGGTTTATACGGTCACGCTTTTACATTACGATCGGTAGGATCGTAGAACCACGCCATGTCTCTGTTTCACGTGTGATCTCTATTAAACGTCTCTCAATTATACGGTTGTCAGCGTGACTAATTCAGGATTATGTTGTGTGTTGTGGGACACGCGGGAGCTCTAACCCGAAGGGCAGGGCCCTCTACTGACCATTCCAATCCCAATACTAATTACAATGTAAGTATCTATTCATCCATTAAAAACAAACTTCAACTACCGTCCCCTCCCCCCTCTCGCCCTCCTCCTCGCGTTCTCGCGCGAGTAGCGTGGACAGAGGGATCACGGAGGGGGGGGACACGTCGTGTTATTTTGCTCTCGAAGTCTTGATTCTTTTTTTCTTATGCACCGCGAGAATGAATGCCAGTTTTGTGTATACGCGCAGGTCGTTTTTTATCTTACCCTCTTTTTTTTTTCTTTTTGGTTGGTTTTTTGTGGGGTCTCTATTCTCTTGATTCTTGGTGTCACCACGATAAAACGATAGACTCTTAACACCGGCCGCGACCACCGTTGCTTTTCGTTCTCACATCTCTCTCTTCCTTCTTCTGTCCTTTCTCTGGGTTTTGTTTTCTCACCCCGTGAAACGTGCGACGACGCGCCCTGGATAAATTGCGTTGTTCCACGACGCGGATGTTTAATCCCAAGTTGAGTGTGTCACTCGAGAATAACACAAAGGCATAATAACAAGCTAACAGTTGTGAATGCCGTTTTGAACAGAGAGTTGCCTAGTTTTGACTCTGCTTGATCCTTACCAAATGCATCCCTTCGATACGCGTACATTATTTACAATGCGAATGTCTATTCTTTTTCCTGTGTTTATCCTGTGTGAAGAAGAAACGCTTTAATTTGCGATTGAGGTGATATTTGTTTGTAAGAATGCTATGTAGATCGCATATTTGACTCGGCTGATTTGTTTACTCTTGATTTTTTCTTCATCTTTTCTCTCAATCCTTTTTGCTTTTTTTTTTTTTTTTTTTTTACTTATTTAAAGAGAAAAAAAAAATGAAAGGAAACCTTCCGCATTTCTGCGACTTGTAACTTTTCTGTTGATTGTGTTTGCGGTATTTGGGTTGATGACAAAAGTCCTTCTAGTCACTCTCTAACATCTCTTTGCGTGCGAAGTAGAGTTTTTGCCTGGCAGCATTTTGACGCGCTTCCTCTGGAGTTCTCTCAAACGGCAAAGTCATCTCTGTTGCAGTATCGACAAGCGGTGAAATCACCTCCTCCGTTTGCGCTTCAACAGAAGCAGCGGTCTTTCTTGACTTTCGGATTCGGAGCCGGTCCAGCGAGGAGAGAATCCCACGTGAACGTTAACGTGACTCCCACCAGCCACGATTTAGCGTCAGATACGCCTGAAATACGTAAATACAAGAAGCGTTTCAATAGCGAAATCCTTTGCGCCGCATTATGGGGTGCGTATACTAAATTGCAGAATTTTTTTTCGACCGACCGATCTTGATCTCTCGCAATTGATTTCTACCGCTTTTGCAGGAGTAAATCTATTGATCGGTACCGAGAACGGCTTGATGTTATTGGACAGGAGTGGACAGGGTAAAGTTTATCAATTGATCAACAGGAGACGTTTTCAACAAATGGAAGTACTCGAGGGTCAAAATATTTTGGTTACCATCAGCGGTAAGAAAAACAGAGTACGCGTCTATTATCTTTCTTGGTTGAAGAGCAAGATTCTGCGAACAGATGGTCACAGTGACGTAAGTTTTCATTTTATACATATCGAAAGAAACTTTTCTTTTTCCTCTTTATTGTATATTGCATATTGTATATTGTGAATGTGTCCACTGCGTTATAATATCGAATATTTCTTTGTTTCTTCGCAGCAAGTCGAACGACGTAACGGTTGGATCAACGTGGGCGATCTGCAGGGCGCAGTGCATTTCAAAATAGTGAAATACGAGAGGATAAAGTTTCTTGTGATTGCGCTGAAAGATTCCATAGAGATTTACGCTTGGGCGCCAAAGCCGTACCACAAATTTATGGCCTTCAAATCTTTCGGCGAGCTCGCGCACAGACCTCTACTGGTTGACCTTACGGTCGAGGAGGGTTCGAGGTTAAAGGTTATTTACGGTAGCGCTGATGGATTTCACGCGGTCGATTTGGATTCTGCCACAGTTTACGATATTTATCTACCGAAACACGTAAGGAAAATCACATTTTTATTCACGATAGATAGATGCGCGCGATGCGATTTATTCGATCTCTTTGTTCGAGAAATCGGATAAAATTTCTCAGTAATAAATCAATGCACAAGCAGAATATTAACATGGGCTTTGTAGTTTAATCATACATTGATAAACATTTTAAATTCAACGATTATGAAATTCAGAAATATTTATAAGCAAGTTTTTTTTTATCAGTGATTTTATCATGAAGATTAATTAAAAAATTTCAAAGAAATATTAGTAGATATATTATTTTGAAAATTTGAAATATTTAGACATTATCACAAAATTCTCCAATCATTTTTTCTTATAAGTCGCTGAAACATGTGCATCTATATCTTTTTAAAGTTTGATAACATCTTATCGTTTGTTTTTTTGAATTGCAGACCCAAGGTCCCATTTGCCCGCACTGTATAGTAGCGTTGCCGAACAGTAATGGCATGCAATTGTTACTCTGCTACGATAACGAAGGCGTATACGTAAACACTTACGGCAGAGTATCGAAGACGATGGTTCTTCAATGGGGCGAGATGCCTACGAGCGTCGCATACATCGGCACGGGACAGATTATGGGTTGGGGCAATAAGGCGATCGAAATTAGGAGTGTGGAGAGCGGTCATCTCGATGGTGTTTTCATGCACAAGAAAGCTCAACGGCTCAAGTTCCTCTGTGAACGTAACGATAAGGTGAGTGTCACGGCACTCAAGTATGCACATTCCTAATTAATAGCTTAGAACGTAGCAAACTCTCGTGTTTTATAAGAAATCATGTTTTCCTATTTACGTTTCTCCTACTTTTACATATAACATCCCATCACTTTACGTGCTTCTCCTTCAGGTATTCTTCTCGTCGGCAAAGGGTGGTAGTTCGTGCCAGATCTATTTCATGACTCTAAATAAACCAGGCATGGCCAACTGGTGATCCCGAATGAGGCCGAATCTGGCCCCAAGATTATTATCCTCGCGATTACCCCCGTTGCCGCACAATCCGCCGCGTGTATCGGGATATACAGCATCGGCGCGCACACTCGCCCGCCCTTCACTGCCAGGACCCAGCGCTTTGGAGACCAGGAAGTGCGTGCACCGTATCCAGCATTCTTATCAGCATCAGCAACAAGTACAGCATCGTCAGCGTCATCGTCACTATTCTCATCATTATCCACATAATCTTTCATACAACTATAATTACGACTACGAAGAGGACGAAGAGTATGACAGCAGGTTCCAAAGATGCACTCGATTGCCTTTACGAAGCACACCGGGAACGTTAACGTTCGTGAATCTGCTCGTCAAGAAATTCCTCTGTTTTCTTACTTGCTCGCCCTGCGGATTGCGCGGTGCGGCCTAACGCGCGGCCGAAACGCAGAGCGAATTTCTCTCCTTTCTTCCCTTCCTTTAAAAAAAAAAAGAGGAAGAGCGCACGTTGAATTTTTGCACGCTGGTAAATCGTATCAATATTCTATGTATTCCTCTCTCTTTGTTTCAATACACAAATTTGTCGCTTTTACGATCACTACAATAAGTCTGTACTTGTTTCGCGTTGGCATGTATACGTAAAGTATATCTTAATTCTCGAGGAACTTCAAATATTAAAAATCGAACAAAGTGTATTTTACTGTGTCTGATGAATATAGTTAATAATTAAGAGTGTTTTATACGAAAGATGATTTAGAATAATGTAATAGAGCATGAACTTCATTTGTGCTGATCTTTCTAAAAAAAAAAAAATTGTGAGTAGATAGTTGTAAGAACAATGCTGACGAATTACCAGAGACACGTCGATCGCATAGTCGATCGGTCGTGCCGTGCAACTGTTTTCAGTGTGGGAAAATTCGTGCAATATCGGTCTGTACAAAAGAAAAAGAGACCGTATGCTAAGAGACTCCTTATTTAAATCGAAGCAAGGATATATATTCCGATAACCGAATTGTGAATGTCGTATAATGAGCAGGAGATCTCGAGGAATAAAGAAAAAAAAAAAGAAAGAAAGAAAGAAAGAAAAAGGAGCTCGTACAGTGCTCGAAATCGTGATTCTTTTCTTGTCGAAGTTTGTTGATTTCTTAGTGAAAAAGTTCTGGTGTGGTTTTAACGAAAAGCGTAGCGACGTTCTAGCAAAAGCCGGACGAACGCGTTACGACAGGCTGGCGCCATGAATAACGGAGACAACATCGTTACGTACGACGCGATATCATGATAAACTTAGAATTAAGTGAGAGTAATTACTAACGTTAATTAATTGTATAGTTATAGAAGCTGGGGGTTCTTCCCGCTCGTGCGTAGCGGGTAAGCGCGACGACGATGACGATGACGCGAGGTGAAATAACGCGGGTAGACATCCGACGGACGAGTCGCATTTTTACAAATAATAGATTAATTATACCGTAGGGATTTCATGACGCACGATGTCGGGACGTGAATAACCGAGTCTCTTTCTTCTTTCCCTCCTCCCCCCCCTCCCCCCACGATAATGTTTTCACGTTTTTGAGTAATTTCTTTTTTACATTTGACACAACGTGTATCCTTCCCTTATACCGCGTATCACGAGAGACATACATTCGTACGACCCTTTTGTCGTGATGTCGTTTTATCGTGAAACGTAAAAATATGAATGAACGCGTAAGTCTTCAGCTTTTGTAAGAAATTTGTAAGCCTTAGCGAGACGACGCGCGCATAAGAGAGAGCATCCTGCCCTTCTGTCTTCCTGCTCGTTCCTCGATCGCGAATCGCTGTTCCGCTTCCGAAGCGTTATTACAGTCTGATCTCATATAATCTCGAAGACACACTTTTCCGATTTAAAAGGGAATCCTTAATGTAATCATTATATCGCTGTGTTTTATTGATGTTGGATTACTCTTGGCCGATTTAAGCCGGCTTACGGCGTTAATAACGGAGCGGAAAGAGTTTTCAATTTCCCAAGTAACGCGAGTCCTTCGTTCACGTTGTCCACGATATCGGAATTTCTCGAGCGTGCACGCAGTCAGTATACGTAATGTTTGCGCAGGGATCCTTATCAATATCGCGAATCGAGTTACATTAGAAATCGTAGCGAAAACGACATTCAATCGACGTTACCAACGTGATCTCGGAACAAGTGCGGCAAAAACATTTTGCACTTTAAGGGTGCCAAGATTATCCGGCTAAATGTCTGTGTTACTTCGGACAAGGCGATTACGTGAGCGTGACGTGAGCATGTCGTAGCAGAAAAGAAAATAGCAAATATCAGCGAGCGATATATCCCGGCGATGTCTCTTTTCGTCCACAGCGTAATCATCAGGTTGACATATCCCCGCTATCGCGTCGTTCGCGTCGTTCAAAAGCGAGTGACCGAAGTGATCTTGTGAATGATCGGCGGAGAGTCCTGCATCTTTTTCGAAAGCGGAAGCTGTCACGCGACTGCGACCATCTGCGAGCGAAATCGGAAATTCACAGAAATCACAGAGATAACGTTTGTACACTCGTTTATTTACTCGTAAGTAAGTAAATAAATATATGACGTGCTCTACACGACGCGCATGGAGAGACAAATTTCTATCTTCGATCGAAGTAGCGATATCCTTCGACGGTTAGGTGCCGCACACCGTCTTGAGACTCGTTGGAGGTTGCCGGTTGATTAGCGTATACGTGTAATCCCGCTCGCGGCGAAACATTTTTTATACCGTTTAACGAGAAGGCACGGAAAGGGGCGGAGCTCCGAGCATAGTGCTACGAAAGACTGCTTTTTAAATGGAGGAAGCTTTTTATCACGCGATGACAGAGAACGAGTGGGGTATAATACCGAACGAAAGAAAGGGAGAGAATGCAAAGAGAACGAATGAATGAAAGAGAAAGAGAGAGAGAGAGAGAGAGAGAGAGAGAAGAAGAAAAAAAAGAGTGACTTTTGGCAAATACACACCTTTCGGGCGGTTATTTACGATTGGCAGGAGTTTGGATATAATATTATGATAGTAATATTATTAATTATCTTAAACCTAGACCTGCGAACTAATTTTGTACGAAGGAACTTCCCTCCTTTTCTTTCCATCCTTTTTTTTCTTCACCCGACCTCTCTACCCCTTAATCTTAAGTTTCCACGACGTTCGCTACCTTACCTCCCCCCCCTCCCCCTCTCCCTCCTTTCTCTTTACGCATTGTCTCCCAAAGATGGTAGTGATGATTTTTTTTTTACGGATAGTAATAATTATCGCAATTTATCGATTGTATTACGATTATTACTCCTAGATTCTTACGAGAGGAAGAACGTCACGATCGTTAGACGCGATGTACTATGATTACGACGCGATTATTATTATTATTTTTATTACTATTCACACTACTACTAAGGTCAAATATACGGACATTCGTAATTTCATTGGTGGTGCATTTCTACTCCCCCGTCCCGTCCCTACTTGCCCCTCAACATCGGCGTCCCCGGCAAGGCCGATGGTTTCTCCTTCCGTCGCTGGAGGATGCAATCGCAAGTTTCGTAGATTGGTTCATTCGGCAGGCCGCCATTGTTAATTCGCACTTTCGTAATAAACCTAGTTGCTAACGCGATTTCCGCGTGTTCGTTGTGCCGCGCGATGTTTATCGCGGCTGCGAGCTATCAGCACGGAACTCGTCGAGGACTCGCGCGCTTCCTGGCCACATGCGATCGAATTTCTCTCCGCATTCTCCCCGTAAATGGATCCAGCTTAATCGCTTGCCGATTTCCGCTTGCCGTTCCCGTTTTCGCGTCGCGACGGTCGGAACTGCCGGTGCCGCCGCGCCGATGGAGAACGGGCGGTATCGCGACAACGGATCGTACACGATCCGTTCTCTTTATTTTATTTGAACTGGAATATCGCTGTCTTATCTGATCCCAGTTAGAACCATCGATGCACTTGATGCCGATGGGAAACGAGCGCGGCAAAGGATTTCTTTGTTCGGCTAATTATCGCATGATCAGGCGCATATCGATTACTCGTCACGAATAACGAGCAACTTTATACACGCGAATTAAAATAGCCATTATCGAAGAGGAAAAATGTCTTATTCGACATAAAATATTGATATTTTGATATAAATTAATGTAAATCGAGTGTTTGTCCAGTAGGTATGGTAACGTTATTTATCTCGTGTTATTAAATATTATTTTTTCATATATTTTTAAATTACGATAATTATATTATTTTCATAATTTTTTCTTCCATCACACGCACACATAGACGCTTATAGAATAGGAATAGATTCATAGAAGTCAAATTGACAGATCAACTTTATTTTTCTTAAATTTTTTAGTTTTGATATTAGAAATACAGAACAAAGCGATCATAGTGAACTGTTTCAATTTTTTAAATTAATATCTTTTTCTCATCTATTAAATATGATTTTAGAATTAATTTTTTATCAATTCTTTATTTTAATAAAACATTAAAGTTAGTATATCGAATCTTTATCGAATCTTGGCAACAAATTGAATTAAATTGTTAAATAACATAATTTTTAATTGACATAACATAATTATTGTTGTAAAATCAAGTGCGCATATACATATGTGAAATAAAATGTACTCTTATTTCAAAAAATAGTCACTATTTTTTTACATGATTTATAATATTGTCAATATATATAATTTGTATTTGGACCTCTTAGATTCGAAATTGTTAAATAATTTAAGTTCGAGTTTATTAAATCTCATCTGATTAGATTTTTTTTTATTCGAGCAGTTTGCACATTTCGAATTATACATCTTTGCATTTTCATCGACTTTATCTACTTTCTATTTCATGAAAAAAATTAATGAAATTAATCAATTCGGTTTCCGAAAAACTCATAAGTAAATCTGTCCGAATCGAAGGGTTGTCCTTTCATTAGCAAAGGGTCGATGAGGATAATAATGATAATGAAAAATGGTCAAATTGGAACGAGCTCATTTTTCAACCTGAAAAGATTACGCTTTGCGATATATACGCTCTCGCTACTTTTAATCGAAAATTAATGGCGGGACTATGACAAAAGCTCGTGTGTCTTGGTAACTCGTAGAGGTTTATAGTTTCGGTTGGCGCGTAGGGGAGGTCGACCTTCCGGATAGTACACGAAACTATTAACCCCACCGCTCGTAATACCTAAAAGCCGATGTATCGGCTTTTGTTGTTCCAACTACGGTACACAGCGACGATCGATATATCGACGCGCTCATAGAGCTCATAGGGCATTATCTACTAATGAAATTATTAACGTTTAATACTTTAAATCCCCCGTAGCGCCCCTCGGCGCGCGAAATAAGAGGGGCTCGTTTAGCGGGGCGCGTTTCGAGAGAGCCAATTACGGAGTACTAAAAGGGACTGTTTGCCGCAACATTTTCGCCGGCCACGGGTTGTCAACGGGTGATCGATCGATCGATCGATCGAGATCGTCGACGACCGGACAGTGTTATTTCTCGGCCGTGCTCCGGCAGCCGATTCGCTCCCGGAGGTTTCGGAGGAAGGTTTCGTTTGATGCCGCGCGTCAAGCGAGCGCCAAGCACCGGTGCCTGGCCTGTATTAATGATGGCCGTTAGTAATTAGCGGCGCCGCGCTTCAAAGGCCCGGGCGTTCCCCAGGCGCGAGAATCAGAAAGTTTCGTTTCCGCGGGTAATGACGCGAGAGAGGACGCGTACACCCCGGAGGAGGAATATGTTTATTCGACGAAAGTTGCGCGTTAAACGCATTAAAAGTATTTCACCGGGACGGATCGGATGCGGCGTGAAACGGGCGCGGGCAAAGTTTTCGCCCACCTCGGAGATTTAACCCGATCCGCGCGCGGCTTTCTCACCCCCTCCCCCTCCCGCCACGGCTCGCTCCAGATGCCGAGAGATATGGCGGAATATCGGGGGTTTTAACTCCCGGGACGTAATACGATTTATTTTTCCGTCGACGCGTCCGGTGGACCTTCGTCACCCCCTCCCCCCCCCCCCGTTACTTTTTTAAGCGGTCGAAGAGATTCCGATTTTTGATCCTCACCCTCCCCCCCCTCCTCTCCCCATGTTCCGCATGTCTCGGAGGAGCGCGGAAAGACAAATCGGATGGAAAGGGAAATGTATTTTCCAGCCGGAGGAGATTATTCATTAGAGGAAAGAAAGGAATCTTTTTCGGATGCGTGTTACTCGGATATTCGCTCCCTCCATTTCGCCGTAACGACAAAACGTTACCATCGGGCAAAAGGGCCGCCTTGCCTTCCTCGGGCCACGCCTGAAGCGATCGAGGGCCGAGCGATTTCTTCGCTCCGGCTACGAGAAACTTATGTTTTCGGAGTTAATTGTATGCAATGGCTGTTCTGCCAGCGAATCGAGAAACGTCGGGGCCCGTCCCGGCCGCCCTTCCACACCCCCCCCCCGTCCGTCTCCCCCGTTTCCTTTCTTCGTTTCATTCCTGCTTCGTCCCAGCCGGCTTTTCCCAGTCGCAGGCGATTCGGTTCCCATTAGTTCCCGTGGAACGTTTGAAACGTAAGTTGATTGCTCGTACTACGGACTTTTGTATTCTCTAAACTCGGAAGCATTATCGTTAACGAGCAAACGATAGTCGCTGGAAGAGCGCGGCCGATATCAACTCGAAGCAACGGCGGAAGACGGGGGGAGGGGGGGTGAACTTCCGGAAATTCTTGCGCAACTAAACAGCTCCTAATGAGCTCGGGCGAGCGGTACCCCGGAGGGGAAATCGACCGGTGGATCGGAAAAGTAAGTTAGAGAAGCGACGATTAATCTAATTCCGCCGCCCCTATTTATTATCAGTTTCGCGGCAATCGCGTATCTCCAATCACCTGGCTGGCGCGATATCCTTCGCCCTCGCAATCCCCCCCTCCCCCTCCTACTTTGCTTTTCCTTGTTTTTTCCTTTGTTATTTTTTTTTCTTCTCGCTTTCCTACACTTTTCTCCACTATGCAATTACGCTCGTTACGCGTCGCGAAACGCGCGGACTCTCCGCGAGAAAACGAATTTCCGCTCGTCTATTTTCCCCCGGGGAATAAGTCCCTACATCCGTCTTTACCCCCGGCTCCTTCCCCGCGACATCCAAGTGGCATCTCTTCTCCGTGTCCCTCCCTCTCTTCTTCCCCCGATCGTCCGGAATCCATTTCGGGAGGAGGGGGGGGGGGCGACGTGTTCTGCGCGCATCCCGATGTTTCGCGGAGATAATCCGCGAGAAAATTGCGAACAAGATGTTCCTCCGGCGGCTGCCAAGAAGGCATCCAGCGTGTTTTCGCCGTCGTCATTTCTCTCGATGT